GAGCTGGCAACTCGACTTCACTCACTGACGTGACTTCCCTCTGTCTTTTCTACCATATTTTCATGACTATGGCAAGTTTCCCCCGACCCTAGTGCCTGACCTACGTGTGTTTAAGCGTGCTATTAGATTGGCATCTTGGCCCCGCCCTTTTACTGGTGAATTAGGTAAATGTAACCGCCACTTTTGCTCTAAGTTTTCTTTTTACATATATACACATGAAATTTTATACACCTCTCTCTCTCTCTCCTGCACACACACACACACACACACACACACACACACACATATATATATATATATATATATATATATATATATATATATATATATATATAAATTCATGAATCATTCATACAAAAATTAAATATAGTGGTTAATGATTTAAATCGCAAACAATATAAATAAGATACACCAACCCCGAACATCTATATTTGTTTTTTTGTATGAATGATTCATGAATTTATAAATTTTTTTAATTATATATATATATATATATATATATATATATATATATATATATATATATTGAATAATAAAAAATTAAAAATTAAAATCTTGAGACACACTGTGTTGTAGATTAATATTCTTTCGTTTTTTTTTATTAATTAGATTAAGTAGATTAATATTCTTTCGTTTTTTTATTATTATTCCATTTGGATTCCTCGACTAGTTTCGGACAAAATGGCCTTCATCGGGAGAAGAAATATTTCTGCTTGCTGGTAGCAGTGAACTACAGAAATGAATGTCTTGATGGAGAAAATTAACTTTTGTCTGTAGTTTTCATTTGTTTTTTTATTTTTTTATCTTTTTAACATTAATCTTTTAACATTCCTTGTGTTGGTCAAACAGTCTCTTTTAAGTTGTTATTTGAGATAAGTGCTGGATGGATCTATGCTGCTCCGAATTCCCCTGGTCAGTTTGACAGTTTTATTGTCCTGGAGAGGGGATGTGTCTCTGTTTAGTTCTTATGTGTGTGTGTTATTTGGTTCTTAGGGAGTGAGTGAGTATGATATGTGTAAGCGTGTGTATTGCTGTGGGTGTGTGTTATCATTTGGCTCATTAGGGAGTGAGTGAGTATGATGTGTGTAAGTGTGTATATTCGTGTGGGTGTGTGTATAAGTGTATAAGTGTGAGGCCTCCACACCTCCGAAAGCATGTCTGTCTTGTGTGGGTGAGAAATGTGGGTAGGTTTTGATTTGTTGAGTTATATATTAATACTATCTATATTGTTAAATTTATGGTTTAGCCCGGATGGATATTGTGTTTTTAGACGTTGTATCCACTTATTTTCATGGGACTCTAAAATCTTTCTAATGTTATCTGCTCTGAACTTTTCTATTCTCTCAATTATCGTGAATTTGGCATGGGTTTTGAAATCATGTTTTTCCAGGCGGAAATATTGTTCTACAGGTAATAATTTTTCATAGGGAGTCGACTTAATTCGCTTACGATAATTATTAATTCCATATGACGGAGTGGCCACCATTTATATATATATATATATATATATATATATATATATATATATATATATATATATGGTGGGCACTCCTGTCGTATTCGACATATGAGGTCAAGCAGCTTAGGAATCAACAGGCCAGCACATATGATTTGATTATACTGGAAAGCTTTGTGCACACTTTTTGAAGGACCGAATCCAGAGACCTGGTGCACTACGTGCCACAAGGTCCCCAAACGACCCTCCGCAGGTTTTGCATTCAGAGTGGTTTTTTTCCTAGACCAGTTGCCATCCAAGGCTATAGAACCCAGTCTGCCCTGCTATTTATCCATAGAAGAAGATTAATACCTTCCTCAAAGTTATTAGCGCGTAAGTGAATGTAATGGATTCGACTGTAATTCGAACTCGGCTCACCGATTTCTCAATCCGAGCTGCTCTCCACTACTCCACCGTATGTATGTATGTATGTATGTATGTATGTATGTATGTATGTATGTATGTATGTATGTATGTATTTTTAGATGGAGTGCATATGTAGAATTGACAGCATGAATAAAAAAGAAGAGGCTAAGTATAGTTTCCCTTTTCTCATATATATATATATACATATATATTTATATATATATATATATGTGTGTGTGTGTGTGTGTGTACGTTCGCGTGTCAATGTGAGTTTGTGTATATCATTGTTTCTTTGTATGGAAGATGTTTCTTTTCCCGATTTCTATCTCCATTTTCGTATTTTAATTAGTATCAATTAATTTCCACACGAAAGCTTCTGCTGATGAATAGAAAAATGATTGTCTAATTATGGATATTTTGTTCAAATAATGAAAACATTTTTCTTCAATTTTAATTCAGACATCAAACATACCGGATAGCAGTCAACCAGAGAAAGATCAAACATCAATTGAGTTTTCTATTTTGCTGGAAACAGGAGAAAAACACCATCTCTTTCTCTCACTCTTAATCTGTGTGAGTTTTTCTTATCTCCCGCTATGGGTAAAATAACAGAATAGACTGCGTTCTGTTGTCACAGTTCTTAACCGTTGTAGGAGAAGAAAAACTCTGACTCAGAACTACCAAGACAATTTTTTGTCATTTCACCTCACTCAAGATAATAAAGCCACTAAGACACAAGAGAAACATTATTAAGGAGCGAGAACAATATAAGTGTAATCAGGAAGACAGTAGATAAAGATTGACATTGCATTCAATTTTTAGACGATCAAAATTAGCTGGAAAGTATGGAGCCGGAAGAGAGTTCCACAAGCGAGAAGTGCGATAGAAGAAAATATTAGCAAAGAAGTTACGATTACATCTAATTCAACTATGAATTGATGAGACCTCTCCGCCAATCTAGTACTGCATTTAAATTTATAAAGTCTTGGTACCATAGAAAAAAGATCCATTAAATTATAACATAAACCATTATTCTACAATCTACATTCAACATCATCACTTGATAAGACACAAGAGGTGTTGAAACAAAATGGCTATCTTTGTATTCATTTTATAACATATTTATGTTATAATTTTTAAATAAATAATTATAATATATATATATATATATATATATATATATATATATATATATATATGCATATCTCATTGAATACGACAGACAAGAAGTTTTTATTTAGTTTTTATACAGGTTCTCATGCAATCTGATAACTGTTTTTTCTTTTGGAAAATAAATTATATAAAAACTGACCGAATGTAATTTTAATCCGAGCGCTTTCGGCTATACATTTAGCCATTATCAAGATTAAATATTTTAACTGTTAAATAAAGAATAGAAAATGGCTAAATAAAAACACCATGTCTCTCGTATTCAATGAAATGTGCATGAAAGAATGATTGCTTCCTAAATGCAAATATAATATATATATATATATATATATATATATATATATATATATATATATATAAATATATATATATATATATAATGTACCACCCTTTTGGAGCCTTGAATTGCCCTGTTTGTGCCAGAGTATGTAGGTCCCTTTGCTGAGCTAAAAGTCATATTTGTTCAGCACACCAGTAGTAATGGGCGTACTCGGACCCGATTTGATAATCATATATATATATATATATATATATATATATATAGCATAACATTATATTGATGTTTATATGGCAAGGACAGTTTTGGAGGAAATATGTATATTTTACCTAAAACATAACGATGCTCTATTAAAATATCCTCGTGCTATTGAATTATCTGATCTTGCAGATAATCTACACAAAGTCGAACATGCAATAGAATTTCCATAGAAAATTTGGCATACAATATTTTACCTTTCCTAGATATCATGCTGCACCGCGTTGGCAGCAGCTTAAAACGTAGTGTCCGCCGAAAACGAATTCATGAAAATGATCTCATAAATTTCTATTCTCATCAGGACAATTTAAAAATCCGAAATAATCATTGGATTCTATTTAAGAGCAATCATAATTTGTAGCCCTTAATATTTACACGAATATAAAGAAAAAATTGAGAATACTTTCAAGACCCTTCAATACCCTATTTCATATTCAATGCGAAACAAACGGCCTATAAAATATTGCAAAATAGAAAAACGTTCCTCGCTGACAAACCTCTCGAGTGAAAAGAATATATTATTCCACTTACTAATTCTATCACAACTACAACTGAAAAGAATTTATCTAAACTCAACATAAAATTTGTCACAACTACATCTAAAAGAAGACTTAAACAATACGAAACAAAATTTGAAAGAGAAATATACTCTATCAACTTAAAGGATTGTCAGAAAGAAAGTACTGGAGGAACCTCAAGAGAGTTTAAATAAAAAATTATATGAATACAAAAGAGATATTTTAAAAAACATCAGAAAACATATAGCTTTTTCACCGTAACAAAACGGACCACAATTTTGACATAGGGAATGCTACTTAGATTAAAAGAGAAAAAATCTACTGAGACGAAAATGTCTAGAAAGTTCCTTGATCGCTAGTTCAGCCATGATAAATTTACGTCCAGGCTCTTACAATATATCACCATTTTTGGTAGCCTTTGTATTACCAGAGTGTGGGATAGACAGGGACAAAGGTGATGGGGAGAAAAGGAAAAAGAATACAGATGATTTCGGTTAGATTGGGGAAAAAAATTTCGATCCTGGCTTGAGGTAATCGGATGTCTAGCCACAGTGATGAGCTGTAACACAGTAAAACAGTCTGTCTGTGCATAACAATATAATATATATATATATATATATATATATATATATATATATATATATATATATGAAGTGAGAGAGAGTATTGAGTCAGCATATGTCCATATAACCACTTTGATGATTGCCCATGTGAGCCGAACGCTTAGATCAAGGAACAGCTTAATAAAAAAAATATTGAAATGTTGGACAATTTTTTTTAGAACGGCTCATGATCAAACATAATATATAACAATATATGTTTGAATATATATATATATATATATATATATATATATATATATATATATATATATATATGTATGTATGTATGTATGTGTATATATGTATGTATATACATAGATAGATAGATAGATAGAGAGAGAGAGAGAGAGAGAGAAGGATAGATAGATAGATAGATAGATAGATAGATAGATAGATATCTAAACAGTCAGACGGACAGTGAGATGGATAAGAAAGAGAAAAGGTAGATATGAACAGAATTATATATATATATATATATATATATATATATATAGACAAACAGATATGAACAAACTCAGATACATAGATATGAACAGACTAAGAAAGAAAGAAAGAAAGAGATTAAATGTGAAAGTAAAAACCGATAAACATGAGATACCGCGTTTGAGATTTCTATCCTCTTTTGATACCCAACATTTTAAGCCAAGATATAAGAAAGAAAGAAAGAAAAGAAAGAAAGAGAGAGAGAGAGGAAAGAGAGAAAGAGTTGCTTTAAGCGGTAGTTGAACAACTTGACCCAGTGCCAGACTGTTTTATTAAAATTATTTAATCTCGGGTGATTTTACAAGCAGAGTTGACCTACGAAGTGCAGTGATGTGCTGAATTGTTTCTCAACTTAAACTTTCAAAAATCATCCACCCAAATTACAAACTATCAGAATATTTTGTAAGGGCTTCTCTCTCGGGCTGTTTACAGCAGCTTCTCATATAAAATTGAAAATATATATTGGACCAAATAATACACGTTATTTTGTGAATACCCATGTTTGATTAGACGCCCTGTCTTTAAACAGTGTGAATTTCATTTACTGGTCTACGCATTCATGAAACTTTAAGAAAATATACTCTCCAACAAGGATCGAATCTGAGACCTCCCCTATTTATGGAAGAAAACACAACATGATCAAGTGTGCTTTAGATCGCTCGGCCACAGAGGGCGTTACAGCTCAGCAAGGTTGTATGATTATTAGAAAATAATGTCGGATAGAATACATAGATTCTTTAGAAATTGCTAATATATATATATATATATATATATATATATATATATATATACACATTCTTTTTTTCCTTATTCGTGTTCATAAAGATTGAATCAATTTTATCTACGTGTGAAGGCGAAACGACTTTTATTGCAACTCAGATTTTCATTTTGTCGCTTTTAATAGATCTGTTCAGGTAACAAAAGATGTTATTTCTTTGTGGCAACCCAACGGGGATTCGCCAAAATGACATGTATCAATACGACGTATAGAATTAAATTATACCATTCCATCATTCATTACGTAATTAACCTTGCTCTGCTCAACGACCCATTCTATTATTATTATTATTATTATTATTATTAATTTTATGGTCGCCTTCTTAGCTACCGTAGTTTTATTGCCTATATATTTTCCTTCTGACTAGGGTTATTAGTGAATATTAATATCATCCGCCATTTTGGTTACCTTTGTCGTTGCGTTCAATATCACTTCTACTTATTATTATCGCTCTTCTTCGCTGCCTTCTTCTTCCTGTCTGTCTTCGTCTTCTCCTCCTACATCTCTTTTCTCTTCTGACTATTATTATTATTATTATTATTATTATTATTCGCCGTCTTCGTCTTGATACTTTTGTCTTTTCCTTCTACATCTCTTTTACTTCTCACTATTATTATTATTATTATTATTATTATTATTATTGTCTTTTTTCGCTGTCCCCTTCTTGGTTACCTTCGTCTTCTCCTTCAACATTAACTATTTCTTCTTCTTCTTCTTCTTCTTCTTATTATTATTATTATTATTATTATTATTATTGTCTTCCTTCGCTGTCTTCTTGGTTACCTTCGTCTTCTTCTACATCTCCTTTTTCTTCTCACTACCATTATTATTATTATTTTTATTTTCTTTGATTTCTGGCGTTTACACATTTCTTTCCGGGTCCGCCCAGGGACCTAAGGTTAGAAATGGCGCCATGACACTTTCCACTGACAAAAAAAAAAAAAAGATTACATAGATAAAGCCCTTCGTAAGGTGTGGGCTGTACTTGTCAGAACAATTTTCTGTATCTCCTTGAGGCATGGACTTCCAGGAATCCCTTCAATTAGTCTACTGGAATCTTTTCCAACCAGTCCTAGGGCTCCAACTACAATTGTTGATGTTCCCATATGCCACATTTTCGAGATTTCTATTTCAAGGTCCTTGTATTTTGACAGCTTTTTGAATATCTTCAAAGATACATTGCAGTCAGCGGGGACTGCCATATCAATAAGAAGGCACTTTTTTTTGTTTGTGATCTTTAATAACAATATCTGGGCGGTTGGCTTTGATTGTTCTATCAGTGTGTATTGTGTAATCCCATAGAATTGTAACAGGTCCTATCTCCGTAACCGGGTCTGGGTGGTGTTCATACCAGTTTCTTTCAGTTTCCTTCCTGTAGAAGTTGCAGATTTTCCAGTGCAGATATTGGCCCACTCTGTCATGTCGGGTTTTATATTCAGTGGGTGCCAACACCGTACAACCTGCTACATTATTATTATTATTATTATTATTATTATTATTATTATTATTATTTTCCTTCTTTGCCTTCTTCTTCTTGGCTCCCTTCGTCTTCTCTTTCTCCGTCTCCTTCTTCTCATTATTATTATTATTTTTTGATTTAATTTCTGTTGTATACAAATTCCTTTCCGGGTCCCAATCAGAGACCTAAGGTCAGAAATGGTTTCATAACAATTTACACTTATCAGTTTTAAGGTGAAAAACATAAAAACCTCTATGATCATTCACATTTTACAGAGATAAAGCTCTTCGTAATCTGTGAGCTCTACTTGTGGGAAAAGTTTTTTCTTTTTTTTTTTTTTTCTCTCTACAATGAATCTCTTCAATGAGTTCATCGAAAACTTTTCCGATCACTCCAAGCGCCACACCTACAACTGGAGTCATTTATGTTCTCATTTGCTTTAGTTTTTTTTTTTTTTTTTTTTTAGATTTCCACTTGAAGATCCTTGTAATTTGGAAGTTCTTTGAAGATCTTGAAAGATACATTAAAATATACAGGAAATGTCATGTCAATGAGAAAATCCATTCTGTTTTCGTGGTCTTTGATCGCGATGTGTGAGCGATTAGCTTTGATTGTTCTGTGTGCATTATAAAGCCCCATAAAATTATTATCTTTGTAACCGGGTCTGCGTGATGTTCATACGAGTTTCTTGCAGTTTCCTTCCCATGAATGTTGCTGATTTTCCTGTACAGATATCACCCCCGTCTATCATTCAGTCAGTTCTGCGTCATACGTGATACACGCTTAGGCGATCATGAATCCTTCGATACACGACTGACGAGGCAGTAGGTTGCCATTTCTTTCTACGGTAGACCAATTGCCATCCAAGTCTATAGAACCCAATCTATCCTCTCTAGAGGATTCATACTTTTCCAAGGGTATTAGCACGTAAGTGAAAGTAATGATTTCTACTGGAATTCGAACTCGGAACTCCGATTCCTCAATCCGAGCCGCTTATCCATTAGTCCACCGTGCCTTCATACCGAGTTTTATATTCAGTGTTTGATAATAACGTGCAACCTGATGCGAGATGATATTCATTACATAATCTGTATTTTGGTTAACACATTTTTTTCGTATGTGTGCTTGGTAATTTCTAGTTAGCACTTGTCTTCTGCAGCAAGAATGAAAAATTCGGTTTCACCTCTTAACTCTGCACTAGGTAACCACTAATGCATGCGGAGTTTGTCTGCATCAGCTTGCTTGGTACGGGCAGAGTATTCACCATGAAGTGGCTTATCTTGCCATCGTTTCTGCATTTGGTACACTGCATTTGATTTTGCTTTCTTTTTGAATCGAGTTGGTGCATAATGTTTTACTTGCACTTCTACACCGACTTGAAATTCCATTTTGAACTTGTTGGTTTCCTTCGTTACTAAATAAACTTTTTTATTTCTTTCGTGTTCTTTGGTGACAGATCAACATCCAGTCACCTGCAGTTTCTTAGTATCTTTGAAAACTGATGGTTGTAGATTTGTACGACAGTTCTAGTTGAACTAATCCTCTGCCTCTTTCGGATCTGGGCACATACATACGATCAACATCAGCCTTTGGATGATGCATGCTTACTCATTCTGACATCAATTCTCTTACTATCAGCTATGGTCCAATTAAGGAGGTTGAAACTGTATTGCACTAAAGGGACAGCCAAAGTGTTTATTGCTGATATTCTGTTTCTTTTTTCTTAAATTCAATTCGATATTTAGCACCAAACACAAACGCCTTATTCTTTTCTTACTTTCTCTTTCATTTGAGTATGCTGTATTCCATCGCCTTTGCTGACTCCTACTAAATTATAGGCTTCTTCTTGTTCCAGTTCCCTTAACTTTGTGACTCAATCAAGATCTATTCCGTGTGTTTCTCTATTTCTTCATATTTATCTAATCCGAATTGCCATAAATGAAACATTTTACAGCCCTGATGAGACCCTTCAACTCATTGTCGTCTTTAGCAAAGAATGTGATATCATGAATGTTGAACAGATGATTAAAGACTTTCTTTTTTTAAATTTGTATTCATAGTTATTATTTTATAGTTGCTTTTGCTTACATTTTTAGATTCTTTGCCGCTGCAGTAGGTGTATTATGGTTTAGTTGCACTTCTTGACCCACTTGAAATTAGCTTTTGAATTTTTTGTTTTCCTTTTTCTTATTGAATAAATTTTATTTCTTCCATGATCTTTGACACGGATCATCATCCATTCTTCCATGGTTTCCAGGTATCTTTGAAGACCAATGTTGTGGTTTTGTAAGACAGTTCTAGTTGAACTAATCCTCTGCTTCTTTCGGATCTGGACACACACACAGACGATCAACATCAGCCTTAGGATGATGCATGTGGCGGTATATGAGAAGCTTTCGAGCTTTGACATCTATTGGCTCAATATCAGTTATGGTCCAATTAAGGATGGTGAAACTGCATTGAACCACGGGGACAACCAAAGTGTTTATGACCGATAGTCTGTTTTTTGTGAATTCAACTTGGTATTTAACACGAGATGCACACGTCTGGAGTATTCTTTTCTTACTTTTTCTTTAATTTGAGTATGCTGGATTCTTCAACGCTGGAGCGAGTATATTGGAGAACTCTTCCACGACGTAAGGGAACAACCAGTTATACACAGAACTACCAACGAACCTGGAATTCTGAAAACTGAAGCATAAGCCGTACTGGCCAAATTGAACAGAAACAAGGCGGCAGGGCCAGGCGGAATTTGTAACGGAAATGCTGACAACCTTAGATGACTTTGGCATAGAAAAGATCACCGAAATAACAAATGAAATCTACAACAGCGGGGGTATACTGAAGACCTCAGCAAATCTATCTTCATAGATTTGCGATTTGCAGGTCGGGAAAAGTCGAATGAAGCCGACGCGGGGGCTTAAATATCTGGGAAGCGTCTTGACAGAGGACGGTAAGTGCGACACTGAGATCTGTGAACGTAGTGGGATAGCCAAGGACGCATTTCAAAAGCTGGGCAGAGTATTGCGAGACAGGAGGATTTCTTTGTTAACAAAGAAAAGCGTATTGAGCTGTTACGTGACATCCGCCCTTCTTTACGGCAGTGAATGTTGGGCAATTTCCTCAAGATGAAGAAGAGACTCGAAGCAACGGAGATGTGCTTCTACAGAAGAATGCTGAGGATACAATGGACCAAGTGTGTGAGCAACGACGAGGTCTTAGAGTGGATGCAAGCAAACAGGGGCTTATATTTAACAACATGAAGAAGCAGGTGAAATTTCTGGGACACATAATGAAGAAGAAGGGCCTGGAAAATTTGATACTCACGGGTCGAATAGAGGGAAAGAGAGGGAAGATGCAGCTGAAGTTTCTGGGACACATAATGAGGAAGGAGGGCCTGGAGAATTTGATACTCACGGGTAGAATAAAGAGAAAGAGAGCGAAGAAGCAGCTGGAGTTTCTGGGACACATAATGAGGAAGAAGGGCCTGGAGAATCTGATACTCACGGGTCGAATAGAGGGAAAGAGAGGGAAGATGCAACTGAAGTTTCTGGGACACATAATGAGGAAGGAGGGCCTGGAGAATCTGATACTCACGGGTCGAATAGAGAGAAAAAGAGAGAAAGGGGGAGTTGAAGTTTCTGGGGTAGATAATGAAGAAGAAGGGCCTGGAGAATCTGATACTCACGGGTCGAATAGAGGTAAAGATAGGGAAGAGGCTGCTGAAGTTTCTGGGATACATAATGAGGTAGGAGGGCCTGGAGAATCTGATAC